ATAACTGATTCTTAAGCCGTGCACAAGCGACCTTCTGGACGAAGTTGCTACTGGAGATGACATGGTTTGGTCCTTTAAGTCAACCATATTAACAAGCATCAATAGAAGAGTTCCCGCAACATGGACTAAAAACCAGAGTTCCACTAAAAGAAAGTATCCTTTGTTGTTAGTGGGGTTTGAATGCAATGCTCTACCACGAGCTCCTGGCAGATAGGACCATCGTAACGGCGGTCATCTGCGCTTCTCAGCTACTAAAATTGGCTGACATAGTTCGAAAAGAGCAAACGAAAACAAAATAACTTTCCTTCCTTTACTTCAATCAACAGATCACAAAGTTTAGCTCGGAAATTAGATAAGAATCCACTTTACTCTCTTTGCCGACTCCACTTCTTCATAGTACCTTTAGTACCGAGCCCTTAAGAATCCTATGAACTCCTAAAACTCCGAAAAGATTACTCAGTTTGCTGCATGGCTTTTTTTTTTTACAAAAGAATGCATAACCTAGGCAGCACAGGTAAACCTATGGTACCCATACATGGCAGGAATACAATTCATTTGGGGCCTACCAAAAAGCATTCAATATTTCTTTGGTGTAGGATCAGCAAAAGTAGGTGAAAATTGTTACCATTGACGTTCTGTTGGTTGGCGCTGTCGTTGTGCCGTTACCGTAAGACATTCTGAAATCAGTGGATAACGTTACGACATCATTCTCTAAGATCTTTTCATCACACATTTAATGTCAATAAATCGACCACTAAATACACTTTAGCGAGTATAGCTCACACTTCCATCACTATAAGTCGTAGGGCAGTATAGAGAATACTTTTCATCAATATTTCCAAGTATTGGTCGGTATGAGTTGATATCCACTCACAGTGGGTCACTTGTCACCCTTCACCCGTCGTGCCGTTATCGTCGAGTGACTCGAGCGGGCACTGGTAAATCTTCCACTTTTCACTTTTCTTTGTCACATGCGCGAATAGCCCAGTGGATTCTGCTCACTCTGGGTACTCGTTGAACATCATGCCTATCCTCCAGCTTGTGCAGCGACCAGGTTTATGTCGCATACGTTAAGAGATGGAGAATCTCCCTCACAGAAGGATCTCAAGCTCGCGAGGCAACGTGGCGCGTACCTAGCTAGCGAACAGGAGGTTAATCTCGGACAACAAGTGATCTTTGCTTGCCTGAGACACATATGGGTCCACTGATGGAGTCCCTGTTTCTGCTGCATCGATTTGGTTACCTTTTGTGTTTGCGAGGACGTATTTTTGCATGCGTTTATTGTGTTCTCGTTTATTCAGATTGTATTCTACGAGTCAATTCGGCCAAAAGCGCGCGATCAAGCAACAGGTAATTGTATGCGAGGTGTTAAGGAGTCGCTTTCGACAAATAACCTCTCTGTGTAGTCCGAAAGAGAATGGCAAGGTACATGTGAGTTAGTACACCTAATTCCCACCTTCAGAACTCAGCAAGCTATACCTGGGTATCAAACTCTAAAGGTAAATAACAAGTGGTCCTCATTTCCTTAACCGAGGAAGATCCCCGACAAGGCAGCGTTGGGTAGGAGCAGCGCGAAGAGGCTGCTAAAATGTCAACTCCATTCTAGACTGCCTCAATCGCAATAGACTAAGGTGACAATCTCTTCGTGCAATGCATGAGCACTTGCATTTGGGTCCTCGATAGACTTGATCATGCAAGCAAGAATGATAAGGTATTACGTCACCGGACTGGCTCAGACGAGAAGACGCCACCTATTCAATGCTGTTTACGACACAGAAGAAGAAGTGTTCCTAGGAACATGCGAGAGTAGAGGAGTCGACGGCGTCGGCGTTCTCGTCAACACCAGTTTGTCCATGAACATCGATTCGCTCGAAGAACTACAAACGCGGATCGAACGTGCATGGTTTGAGAGATCTGAATCGATAATGGCTTTGACAATGTTCGCCTTTTACGCACCGACATCAAGATATGGCGAAAAAGAAGTCGAAAAGTTCTTTATCCTCCCAACGGTTTACCGCCTCATGGTGGGTGGGAGGCGTTCCTGGGTGTCGGACTGTGATGCACAGCGGGGGAATTGGTCTCCCCGCTGGGTCTCCCAAGCTGAGAAGGAGTCCAGCGTTTCTATCAGGAAGCCTAGCTAAGAGTAAACCAATACCAGGATCCCCCACTATCCTGGTATCAAGGTCGCATGGTGGCAAATCTCCCTCTAATTCATAAGGGCTGCGACTGCCCGTGGTGGTGAAGACCTGGGACAGACTTTGGCCAGGCTGACCTCGGGATCCCAGGGAGCCACAATGGCTTAACCAGAAAATCTTCGATAAATGGTGATTATGCTGGGGACCGCACAACTAGTGAGGACGGACCATTCAAGTGTCAAGTATCAAGTGTTCTTTATGGACTTTGAAGAGTTCTTGAGGAGACCATAGATTCCTAAATGTCATTGGAGATTTTAAGGCTATGATTGGATCTAGAAGAACGTCTGAAAAACGTCACATTGGGACCCATGGATTAGAATGGAACGAACAGGGTAAGCGGCTCTCTGAGTTTGTCACGACGACCAAGATGATTCCTGGTGAATCGCAATTCCAGAAGCCCTACTCTCAAGGCTGAACGTGGGAGTCTCCGAGTGGAGAGTAGCAAAACGAAATAGACCACATCATAGTAAATCGAAGATTTTGCGTAACCGATATGGCTGCAGCCCCAAAATTCTACACGGGATCAGACCACCGCCTCCCTGGCGCAAGATTTCATTTCTGGCAGAAAGGAGAAAAAGTCGCTAAGTGGAAATAACGAAGACGCAGAGGAACCGCCATAAAGTGGTATTTATTTATTTCATTTGTCGACTTTTGCAAAGATGCCATTGTCGATAGCATCCATGAAAAATACTATCGGCTCATCCAACATCTTCACGTTATCGCTATAAAAGCTGAGATCTGGAAAATTACCAAGAGGCGTTTGTCCACAGAAACATTAGAGCTGATACGTCAGCGTAGAGTTGCAAGAGCTACAGGGAACCTTACGTCCTAACTTGCGAAACAATGTAAAGAATTATGGTCGAAGCTGCAGACACTGGTAGAAGTATTCACAAGGCTCACCGAAACTTCGCCAATTACAAAACCAAGATGATTGCACTTCGACGCCCAGATGGAGCAGTTGCCGCTTCCAGAGAGGCAATAAAGAGAGTCGTTCACGATTACTATGGTATCTCAAGTAATGACATTCTCCTGCCCTCATACGAAATAGATAAAGACGGATATAGCGTACCACTGGTTCTCCATTCTGAAATCCGTTGTGCTATTTCGTCGGTGAAGAATAGAACAACATCAGATCCGCAGGGGATAAGACCAGAACACCTGAGGAACCCTCCGTCCGTTCATAAACGCATTGACACGGCTACACACACGTTATGTGTCTGAATTCAAGGTTCCTACTCAGTGGAAAACCATCAAGAACGTCGTATTGTTCAAGAAGGGTATCCTCTAGGATATCAGCAACTATCGCCCAATCTGCCTACTGTTTGTTGTCTACAAACTTTTCACTCGAGTCATCCTAGACAAGATTAACAGAACACTGGACGAAAGAGAGCGATGTGAGCAAGCAAGGTTTTGAAAAGGATTCAGTGCAATGGACGACTTCCACACGACAACAAGATTCATTGAAATATCGCGAGAGTACAAGAGACAGCTCTATCTCACTTTCATCGGTTTAAAGAAAGCTTTTGAAGCCGTTGAGAAAGATGTAGTCATAGAAGCCCTGGACAGCCGAGGTGTCCATAATCACTGTATAAAGATTATTCATAAGGTGTATAAGAATTTCGCAACCAAGATTTTACCATTCTACGACGATGTTAACATCGACGTCAAAACAGTGGTTAAGCAAGGCAATACCATATCGCCAAATCTATTTACCGCGTCCTCGAGAACATCATGCGAATATTGGAATGGGACAACACGGGAGTGAAAATTGATGGTCTGCAGTTACACCATCCATACTCGCTTTGATGATGACATCGTCTTAATAACAATAAGTATTAATTAAGCTGAAAGAGTGCTTCCCAATCTTGATGAAGCCTGTGGAAAAACTGGTCTTCGACTAAATCCCAAGAAAACGATGTTCACGTGGAACGGATTAGTTACATGTGGCTTGTGCTCAATAAAATTAATATTCTCGAGTGCTCCAATTATGTCTATCTAGGTCGTGAAATCAACATAATGAACAACTTAGCTCCAGAGTTGAGCTGAATGAAACGAGCGGCTTTGGGAGCTTTAAAGATCATCGAAAATGTAGTGAAGAGAACGGAATACCCGACCCCGTGTCCACCTTTTCGACTCACAGCGAGTGCGGTGAAAAGCAGGAGTTAAATAGGCGCGTCCGCCACAAGGATCTTAAGCGTTGACCGCTAAGGATTAAGAGTCGCTAATGATTTGTGAGCGCATGAATACTAACATCCTTTCACACTTCCATTTGATCATAATCTTTCCACTTAATGGTGCATAATATCACACTTTTTCCTCGTAGTGCTTATTCTCTCTATTGCAAAAGATGCCTCACTGCTGTTAGTAGTCCTCCCTTTCTTTTATACAATCTTTGCCTATTGATTACATTCTTGGTGCCGTATAGCTTAATTACTCAAATTTAAGGTCTGTTGTAGACACCCTTCTCTCTGCATTGAATTCTGCAGGCATCGTCAGCACTGAATGCTGTAAATATCATCAGCATTCCAGTGCTGCAGATACTAAACCGCTGCAATGATGATGTTCTTTCATGTGATGAATTGAGGCGATTTTTTTTCCCTTCTTAATATTTTTGTGGTTAGAAGCTTAGAAGCATTTCTCACTTTTCACTTTCTTCCATCTAAGTGGTTGACAACATAATTGCAGCGCTCTTTATCCAAGTCATATCGATATAGTTCTTGAGAAGTCATTTATACATCTCTTTGATTTTTGGAAACCTACTGAGGTTTCTGTATAATTCTGGTTTTGTTGGAAACCGCTGACCACTCACAAATTTACAGAAACAGCCTGTGGATTCGAGTACGCGGCCTTGCCACTCTCGATTCGTGTTATGGTGCCATCTTTTAGCTTCATTGTGCCATTCGTTCGTCGGTTATTCATCTGCAAGAGGTTCCATTAAGCATGAAACCTTTGCGAACGATAAGTGATAGCATCATGCCAGTTTGAAAAAGAAATGTATGAAATTAGAGTGCTGAAATGAATTTCTTTAAGCTAGGAGTTTGAGGAAGTTCAGCAGAATGTTTCATATCGAAAGAATCAAGCTGAATTACAATTGCTAAGATTGCCTCTTCTTAGCTCAAGTACGTGTAGTGAAGTTCATCATGTTGTCCGATTTTCTGTGATGGAACGCTCTTTCTTATCAGTTAAATCCTACATCAATGAATGTCTCGTTATTCTTGTAAAGCGCAGAATTCACTTTAAACTTTCCTCTCTATAGCGGGCAGCGAAAAATTCAGTCGTACCACAAAATAGATCGCTATGTTTCATATGGTATGTGCTCGAGAAACTGCACGAGTTGAAATATTACGAAACTGTACTTCATTTGCGTTACATACCGGATATACCACTATGTCACCACGACTTTTCGAAACAGTTGGTCCAACCTACTTAGAATAAAAGCGCTAAAAGATGTTGATCAATGGCTAAGGGATGTGTCATGCATTAGACTTCACCAAGCACCTTAGAGGTGAATGAATGCCTGAATAGTTTTGCCTATTTGGCCGATACAATGATTTGTGGTGGGATTCTGATGCATCAAGTCAGCGCTTTTTCACAAGACCGACTTTCCATTAACTCGGCATCAGTCAAATAATTTACTACACTCTTGTTGAACAAGAACGAAGTGTTATTTTATTCTTTATTGACCGAATATCTGAGGTTTCGGCAAATATCACCTTCTTCAGAGCTCCTCTCCTTCAAAGACGTCCTACAAATATTGAGCACAATGGTGTTTTTCGTCGCATACTTCTTTAAGAAAGCGAATATTTAGTCCTGTTTCCAATACTCGGTGGCTATCCTCTAGTAGTCCGAATACATCGTGCAGTCGTCTTATTCAATGAAGTTCGGAATGGCTTGTGTTGTAAGCAGCGCCAAAGAAAGTGTATTGTCTGTCGAGCTAAGACGATCTTTTATCTTATTGACAATGCTTCTTTTACAAGCCAGAAGTATCTTGCTGGCAATTCTCGGAATAAATCCCACGACCGACTTTCTATTACCTCGGTATTGACCAAATAATTAACTATATCGTTGATGAGCAAACAGTAATAAGTGTTACTTTACTCTTTATTTATTTCTGCTTTATTCTCGGTGTTTTTCTTCATGGACAAGTCAGGTACCAATTCCCAAGTCCATGGGAGCATTAGTGAACTCGGGCTTACGATCGGCGATGTACCGACCCATTGTGTATTCCGGGCATCTCTGATCATGGCGCTACATGCGCCGTAGGCTGGAACGTTTTCGCTAATTGCTAATTAAAAGGCAATCAATAAAGATTTCTAAAGCATTGTCGAGTTCAGTATTCCAAATATTTACTAGATGAAGGACCAAAAGGTTGGAAAAAGTGTACCTGAAAAAATGTAATGATTGAAGTTATTCTTATTTTCGGCGCTAAAATTAAATGTGAAACGGAAGGATTACTTCATTTTAAACTTTTAATTTAAAATTGAACGCTTAATAGTGAATAATCCGTACTTCTGAATAAAGGGACGCGTGTGGCGCGGTGGTCGGAGGCGCCCTGCAACACACACGTGGAATCTATCCTTGCACGCATGACCCACGAAGCCTTCCATCCCTCCCAGGTCGGCAAATTGGTACCAGACTTGTCTAGGAGGATAGAAGCAATACATCGGTAGAGCACCGTGAGTATAGGCCAGATACGCGTTCAATCACCTCCAAGCGATGCTTAGCGAAGTCTCATGCATGGCGCATCCCTCAGGGATTGATCAACGCCGAGAGCTTTATTCTTTATCCTTTTAGTCCGTAGTAGTTAGTTATCGTGATTAGATTAAGGATAGAATAATCAGTATAATCAATAAAACCACAGAAAGAACAGTAAAATAGTCATGCTATATGTTTTACCCACAAATGTATGAAACGATGTGTCATCGCGACTTGATCGCCATCTCTGTAAATACAGTCGTGGTCAAGAAGCAGAACGTTTCTCTAATTGCACTGGAGAGTTAAAACTCAATTGGAAGCAAAAAAACCGATCTCATTAGTTTCGTCTAGAATTCTGAATATCGTATGAGCATTACTGAGAGGAAACCCCATCTTATCTTTAGCCCATAATATCACCAACTTAACCACGATCGTTAGAGAACAGTCCGTTAGCCCAATATAAATTTTAAATCGATGGTCATGCCAATTGTAATATCGAAAGTATATGTAGGACGAAATTTACTACTGCTCGCAGTTAATAAATTAGGAGAAGCGTCGAAAATTTGTTAGTATAGTAAGGACTTAATCGGAAAAAATGGTGCAGTTTGATTTGACTGATTGCTAGGCTTTACAAACGTCGTACCGAGAGGAGAAAGAACGGAAGGTTTGGTCATGTCAACGCGCGAAACCGGGCCAAAGACCAAAAATATATACGTGAGCTCTAACCACTACGCTACACGTGCCTTGGTTTACATTACACACAAAAATCTTGGTGGGAAGGGAGTAATAAAAGCGGTTTAGAATAGTCTACGTAACCGGATAACCTATACAGAGTTATTTATCACCTGGTCAACGGCTGAAGACCAATGCTATGTATGAAATACAGTTATCACAAACTACTATTGTTTTCCAGCAAAATTTTTGGGCACGTAAAAAAATCAAATTAACGTAGACAGGAAAACTAGGAAAACTAACTGCGATTGCGACGAAAGCGACGACAAGAACGATGAGCACGCCGACGGCGATCATCGAACCAATCAGAAGGGCCGAGGACGTCGTACTCTGGGGATATGATGAGTGAACACGCTCGATGTACCCTCGTGAAGGAATTCCTGGGATCGGAAGTAAACAAGTTTCAAAGAAGATGAATGATTAGGCTTGAAACTCTCAAGCCGAAGAAGATATGAACTGCACACGTAATCCATTATGGCGAAAAATAAATTAAGCCCAACCGGAAACTTGACACCATGGAATATAAAATGAAAAGACTTTTGAATAACGTAGCTCAAACAATATAAGAAATTCCAGCGATGTGAACAAGTTCAGATCTTTCGTGATAAAACCACTGACCATTTATGGCAATGCTCCTTGGGTCGACCTCATTCGGACCAACCATGAAGCCGTTCGACGAAATACTTGTATCGATCCTGGAATTGTTGGCCAATGGACATTCAAAGTCAACAGTTATTAACTTTCATCTATCGCTAATATTTTGTGACGATACTACACAACGAGTGTCGGTAGGCGAATAAACTAGAGACTTTCCTGTATTAGAAATTTCACCCTTTAACTTTTTCCCTGTGGCTGAACAGGCCAGGGCCCGCCCCGATATCTATATTTTCTGAGTTGTTTTTGTTCTACATGGTATTCGAGAACGTACTTCTAGGCCTGCATTCACAACTGTTTATGCGAAAAAGAGGTATTTGCATCTGCCTATCTCTCCATATCTCCTCCAATATCCAGAGAGGTTTGTTAAGCCAACAAAATTCAAGAAAAATTGAGAAAATCCGGTTGGAAAGGATCTTTTTGGAAAGATTCGGCAGCTAAATATAGGGAGAAAGCTCGCACTTACTTGGTTGCCAGCTGTTCAGCATCGTGAATATCGTCCCGAGTCATAATGACACCTTCTATGATCACGGAACCTTTGGTGATGGATGTGATATCAAATGCGACAAAATTATCACCGAGAATCGTTTTCAATATGGATGAGATCTGAAGAAGCAGTATTCGTTTGAGAAACAACGAATATTTTCAGGACAGTTTATTAATGAATCACTCACGTGTGGAATGATTTGATCACTAAGTTTTCTATATTGCCCACTTGATTTATCGTTAAACTCTTCAACGAATTCCACAGATGTTATTCTCATGGATAGCAAGGCATTTCTGAGATCTCCTGAGGACCACTCTGATTCTGGTTGAGGTTCGGATACGGGTTGAGATGGACGAACTTGCAAGGTCGGCTCGGGCTTTGGAATAGGTGACGGATCAGCTACGGCTTGTGGTTCAAGCTGCGGTTGTGATTCTGGCTCCAATTTTGGGACAGCGGGTTCGAGAGAAGGTTGTGGTTCCAGTTCTAACTTAAAATGCGGCCTGGCTGTTGGTTCCGGTTTCTGTGAAAGTTCGAGTATGGGTTGTGGTTGTGGCTCAAGCTGTGGTTGTGTCTCTGGCCTATGTCGCACTTCCGACTCAATGGGTTGTCGAGATGATTCAAGTATTGCTTCTGGATCCGGTGTAGCTGGATCTGATTCAGGGTTCGTAACAGCGAAGGTCATCTCTGCGGTAGGGATAAGCGTAGGCCACGTATTGAATTCTATTGAGTGCTCGCTTTTGAGTTGAGGTGAGTTCGAAGCCACCGCGCTAGTAAATGCATCGCCTTGGCTTAATGTGGATCCGACACCTGACTCAATCGGAAAACGTGGCTCCTCAAAAATTGGACTTAGAGTTCCAGCTGTTTGAGACACTTCATTGACGAAAGGCTTCGGAGAACTTGCGTGTATAATGATCTGTTGCAGTTTATACTTCGTAGACATCGTTTCAAAATCAGTCATCGCTGAAACGAACACCTTTAAGTTTATTTCATGTATCACAATCATAATCTAGGTAGCGATTTTTAAAGATTTTTGTCGCTTTAAGTTGGAACCATTTTCATGGTTGGCACCATGCAAAGTCATTCAGACTTGATTTTTCGAATTCATGTTACACTTCGGTAAAACCATGAAAGTCTAGTTGGAGAGTGGAAGAACAAAAGCACTGGAAGTGAGAAAGAAACAATATACATGGGATTGATTACACTCAAATCTTTTAGCATTGAAAGTTAGGAAACTCTTCTAAAAATTGCAGTGTTAGTGACAAATTGTGAGAAAAATCGTACTCGAACACAGAATCCTTTATGTTAATTCATACTTGACACTTGAATGGCCCGTCCTCATTGGTTGTGCAGGCCCCCAGTATAATCCCAATTTTTCGGAGATTTGATGGTTACGGCACTGTGGTTCTCTGGAATCCCAACGTCAGCCTGGCCAAAGTCTGCTCCAGCTCTTCACTACCACAGGCAGTCGCAGACCTTGTGGATCAGAGGTAGATTTGCCACCATGCAACTTTCATACCAGGACGGTGGTGGATCCCGGTATCGTTTTAGTCTTAGCTAGGCTTCCCGATGGAAACGCCGGACTCCTAAGCCTGAGAGACCCAGCCAGGAAGATGAATCCTCCGCTGTACTTTGCAGCCTGACACACGGGAACACCTCCCAGCCACGGTTAGGGGGTGAACCGTTGCGAGGAATCCTTTATCTTGGAAATGCTAGACTGTAAATATGGTATTAAAGCAATACAGCTTTTCTGCGGCTTTAATTCGCGTTGAAAATACTTTTATAGTTACATATAGATGCGTATACATATATCTGTACATATATATATATATATATTTATATATAAAACCACAGTGGTGCTGAGATATTTGCAAAAGTCCGAAGCGCAGGTGTGTGCGGTGGGGAACGAACGTGCAATTACCGTTTCCTGGGGCAAACGCGTTTACCACCGCACCATGCGGGTCCTTTGCCTCGCTCATCTCTCAGCTAGTTCTATCGATCAGTGCCATCAGCAATCACCCGTTAACTGGGTTCAGTGCCGATTTCGGCTCCGTGATCAATCCCATTGACAAGTGACTGCTGATGGAACTGATCTATGGAAGTAGCTGAAAGACAGGAGAAACGAAGGACCCACGTGGTGTGGTGGTGAACGCGTTAGCCCTAGGAAGGGTAATAGCTCATTCGATTCTCACCGCAGGCGCCTACGACCCGAAATTTTGCAAACATCTCAGCACTATTGTGATTGCATTTCGTGTAATACCCTGCCATAAAAACTGTAGTAGGCAGCATATAAAAGTTAATATTATATACATATATATATACTTACATATAGACATGCATATATATACACGTATATATATGTACATGTATGCATGCATATACATATATATGTATATATATAGGAAGCGTGTGTGGCGTGTCAGGGGCGCCGTTCAACATACACGTGGAATCGATCCCTGCAACCTTGGCCTGTCAAGCTTTCCATACCTCCGGAATCGGTACCAGACTCATCTGGGTGGACAGCAGCACTGGCTCGATGCATAGGTGGGCCGCAGCGAGTGATTGTACCGGCCACATATGCATCCAATCACCTCCAAACGGTGCTTAATGAAGTTGAATGCATGGCGCATCCCTCAGGGATTGATCAATGCCGAGAGCTTTATCCTTTATACATATATATATATATATATATATAGATATATATATATACATATATGAATATATATATATGGCAATATTGCTATTAACAAGTATTTCAAAATGGAAAATAAGGATACGAATTGTTTCATAGCAACTTTCTCCACACAGACTTGTAAGGGTCTCAATTGAGAACACATAGTATTTGCTATCTGCTGAATTATGTGTAAGACACTCACCTACGGAATCTTCATGATCATCAGAAGACACGGAAATCATCGGCAATCCAGTTGTGGTGCTCATCTCAAAAATGAATGATAGTAGACATTGAAAATGAGAACCTTTAGAATCTAGAGATCTCTGTCTATAGGATAAAGCTTGTCTTATCCTTCAAGCACAAAATTCCAACTTTCTAATGCCACTAAAAGTAGATAATTTTCCATGTTCTTTTTCTTCTTCTAGACCCGTATTTCAAAAAAAGAAAAAAAATTAACAAAAAAAAAGAATTAAAAAAAACAAAAAAAGAAAGAATTTGTTCCGTAGAACGTGGTGATCTTCCCATTCTATCGGTGGTGGCGGCCAGTGTGGTGACGGTGTGGAAAGTTTAAAAATTCCAATATTTTCTATTTTTCTATTTTTTGGTAATTTGAATTCCAAAGATATTTTAAACTAAAAAAATACGTTTTATAAACTACGCCTACGCACGAGATAATTGAGCAAAGTCTCCTCCATAAGTCTGTGAAGTTCTCAACCTCTTATATCCCTTAGTGTTTTAGAAATTATCGTCACTTATCGAAAAATCTACCGCCGGTGAAATTTTGAAGGTTCGCCGACGGATGCAAATTTTTTCTCACATGTGCTTTTTGTGGTTCTGTGACAAACTGTAGTAGGTACCTTCTTTTGCTGTTGGTCGTTGATGATCTCCGTGCTTTCCTCTGGCAATTCCACTCGAGGAAACATGGGAGCGGATGGTGGCTAACAATACATCGTTAACACAGTTATAATATTAATAAAATCATAAGCGTCACCAGGAAACCCGGAACGCAACACGGTCTCTATGTTATGTGTCTCAGTCAGAAAGTAGCAATAGACCATTTCAAACGCAAGCAAATTTTTGTTAGTTGCTTAAAAAATGCTGTCTACCTGATTTATAAGATGATCAGGGATGAAGGAACCATCTTGCTCAAATAGTCCAGATAGTTTCTCCTGATCGAATGGTGGTTCTAAACGATTCGCACTTGGTTCATTTTCTCTTCATAATGAAAAAATTGATGTTTAACATCAAAACAGATGCAGACCGTCTTCATCAAGTACAGTAGTTTCGGTTGTGGCCGTGGAACTGATGGTGGCAGGATTTGCCTCCGTGAATACAGAATCGTCCTCGCCTTGTTGTTCCTCGGTGGTTGTGCTAGCATGTGCGAAAACATCAGGCGTTTTGGTTTCAGCTAAAGTGTTGTGCAATGACATTTTTATAATGCTAAGAAAGACCATAGTGGTAGAATAAGATTACTTGTTTAAATATGATATGTAAAAGGATAAAATAGAAGGACAAAGCTCTCGGCGTTGATTAATCATTGGGTGATGCGTCATGCATTCCACTTTATTTAGTATGTATCATTGGAGGTGACTGAATGCATGTCTGGGCTTTACCATGGCTCGCAGTGACCTACCGAAGTATCCACCCAATAACTCCCAAGTCCGACTTTCTATTAACCTCGGCATTGATTGCCTTTGATTGATATCTTTCTACTTCTGTTCAGCAAGCACGAGGTGCTATTATATTTCTTTATTTACGCACAAGCTAACGTTTCGGCGGATTTCGCCTTCCTCAGAGCCTGGAAGGGTCAAGTTGACAGCAATCCACTCGGCCAAACACCTCCATAACCAAACAGAGAAAACTCCAAACCAAGATTTCAATCACATTTAGCATAGTTCTGCACACTCACCGCTTTCTATGAGTCTTCCACTGAGTATATCGCGTGAAGACCGACCGCAGAGAATTCACATGGAAGCGCAATGTTTACGCTACGTTTACGCTAATGTTTTTTACGCTTTACGCTAATGTTTACATTACGCTTCCATGTGAATTCTGTGCGATTGGTCTTCACGCGATATACTCAGTGGAAGACTCATAGAAAGCGGCTCTGAGGAAGGCGAAATCCGCCGAAACGTCAGCTTGTGCGTAAATGAAGAAATAAAATAGCACCTCGTGCTTGCTGAATAGAAGTAGAAGGATATATCCACCCAGTGCTGTTAACCTCCCAGACAAGCCTGGTGCCAATTTGCCGACACCAGAAGGATGGAAGGCATGGTGAGCCACGGGTGTGGGGATCGATTCCATGCATGTGTCGCATGGCGCCTCCGACCATTGCACCACACGCGCCCTTATATGTGTATAAACACGGAAATATGGTATATAAATGATTTAATCGCTAAACAAGTAGCTTTTCGATAAAATTCTTTGGTTCAATAATTATTTCAAATCCTACGGAAAGTACAATGTTTGTTGTTTAGTGAGGAACCGTAAACCATTTCTAGCCCTATTTGTTCTGTTTCATAATAACTGAAACACAATGGAGGGATCCGTGTGTACTTCTTCCATTCCACCACTTTTTCCTCGTTTAGAATGTAAGCAAGGTTAAAAGGGGTAGTCAGAGTTATCGAATGTCGAAAGGATCATGCGTACTATCGAAAGGATCGCGCGAAAGTGATCCGAGAACTAGAAAGTGGCTCGATGAAAAATGACCAGAGACGCTATCGCAAACGCCAAGATGTCAAGGATTGGGTGGGGCGGATACGTGACGTTGACGCTTCTCAGCAACAACCACTGGATAATGGGTTGTCAATCACACGGAAGAAAAATCACTGTGCCGATAGTAAGACCTATTAAAAGACAGACTTCGAGTTATAAACATTATATTTATATTCCCGCAGCAACCAGCACTGCGAAGCAGACAGCTCAAACAGGTGACGAGGAAGTACAAACCTTTCTTTTTGTACGGATTTAGTTCTATGTGATTTTCGTCACAATAACACCGGTTTGTTCCTTGTTGGATAACATTGTGTTGCATCATGTTCTGGAACATTCGACAGCAATGGAATGAGACAGTACCGGCACAGTCCGAGCTAGTAAAATTCAAGATGTCATGATTTACGAGCGCCTCTTCGCTCCAGCGGAACGACGTCTGCGAAAAGGAACAATGCTTTGTTTTCGTCGGCTACCAGTAGCGAAAGCATGGTTTTGTTTCGGTTCAAACGCCACGACAAGATGCAGTATCTTTCATAATTATGGTCAATATATCACTGATATGAAAAGCAACATACATGAGAACAAGGTAAGTATATCAGTGAAATGAGCTTCGTCCAGAATAAGTAAAACTAGAAGTGAAAATGCAATCCAATTCACACTGATGTTGAGATATGAGCAAAGCTCGGAAACTTAGGTGAATATGAACCCGCCATTACTGGGAGTTTACGTGCGATCCACCACAACAACCGAGGCCCTTGCTTTGCCTTTCTGTCAGCCAATTTTTTATTCTAACGATATCATCAGTAAATCACCCGTTAACGGGAGCAACCTGGGTAGCACCAATTTCCGTTAAGCTGAAACTTAAGCCGAAATCATGTTTAACTTCTATTTACTGCCAAGTTTTTTAATTTCTGGGTATTATTTGAAATACAACCACAATAATGCTGAGATATGACGCTGGCTAGATTCTGCCTCGTTTGTGAAATTAACACGTGAGGACCTGTAAAAGCTAATCGAAGGTTCGAAACGTGCGTGACGTTCTGAGTTTCTCTCATTTCTCGGCATCATTCTTTTTTACTTTTTTTTATCTTATTTGACTCGTCTTCACGCCTACTGTGCGGGTCCCAGCGATTCTCACACTCATTTCGCTTCGTCGCCTCCATTATCCACGAAGATTTTCCAACTTTACGTGTGGCTTCGGTTGCTGCTGAAGGATTTGTGTTTCATCTTGAATGTCGTAGAACGCTGGTCGAGCAACTCTCCTTGGAGTCCTGAGATAGCCGCACTGGAGCGTCCCAAATTAGATTGCAGAGAGTGATTTTTTCCCAGACAAGTCCGGTACCAACCTCCCGACCTCAGAGGGATGCGAGACTTAGTTGGTCCGGAGCGGAAGCGAATCATGATGAAAGGCATGATTAGCATTCTGTTATCCGCCTCCTTCTTCTCGGTATCATAACCGTTATATTTCACATAGTACCCTGCGATGGAAAAAATAATAAGAGTAGTAAATAGAGGTTGAACGCTGTGCAGAAAAGTCGTTAAAAACTAGGATTACGTTTTAATAGCCTGCGAGTTTTTGAATAATTGGTCAAAATGGAAAGTTTTATTATGTTGATCAAACTATCAGTACGTCGAACTCACACAAATCAGTTGTGCTATCACTCGACAAAGACACCTCAGGGTTCAAAGTGGCGTCTTTGAAGTTGTCACTCTCTGCCATCGGATTCACGACGACTTCTGTAGGCTCAATCGAAGCGTCTGTTAAGTGGAACTCTGTGGATGATGGGAAATTCTCCATAGTTTCTGCTTCAAAGTGAGCATTGGTTGTCGAGGAGATAACAGGTACAGCTGCCTAAAATACATTGAAATTGAAAGTCCGAAAAAAGTGATATCATTGCATAGCCTTTCTTTGGTGGTTCTTTGTCTCATTTTTTCTTTTCTTTTTTCCTCAGCATCTTTTTTTTAGTTCTTGCTGTGTTCCTTTGGCTTACCTCTTCTATGATCCACTTAATGCACTCACTATTTCATTTATTACTCTACATATTCCTTCTCATGTTCAATAATCAGTCTCCTTAAGCGAAGCATTCAAAATAATTGTTTACTTGCATTTTCTTACTAAATAAATTTTAAGATGATTCAAAAAAGCGAATTTCTATGAATGTCAGCATAAATAGTTGATAAATTTATTTATATGATCTTATGAACTGATCTTGTTGAGCTGATGCGAGGGTGGTATAAGTCTTCGTTGTCGTTGTTGTTGTCGTTGCTGTTGTTGTTGGTTGTTGGCTGACGTTTCGGCGATCTCACTTTCCTCAGAGCCCTGCTCATACGAGTGGGACAACAACAACGACAGTGAAGACCTATATCAACGTCGCATCAGCTCAACAAGATCAGTTTATAAGACCATATAAATAAATTTTTACGATGTTTTACAACAACGTAACATCTCTTTTCCGTTAATGTGGATTTTCTAGTAGCTTCTGATTCCCGACATGATAAGTTCTCTGAGAAATTTCGAAGGATTTCTTCCATTATCGGTTTGGTTCTCAGTCATTCCCCGTAGCACAGTGTGTCATGTTTAGACCTCGTAATCCGGCTGTGGATGGGTCGATCATCAACCGATGCTGCACGTTATGGTCCTAACGAAGTGTATTTAATGACTTTGTCATCGACTGCTCAGTATATTGAAGCTGGAAATGACCGGCGAGTAAGCGATTATCGTCTTCCATCATATAAATTGCAGTAGAGAATTTCCACTACTTAGAAAATAGAGAATAACTAATTTTTTCTTAAAAAAACGTCTCCATCCTTATTGAGGTCCAATTTGAAAATTCTGAACATTTTTGAAAATAATTAAGAGATAAACCGGTAAATCATGGAGTTCTATGTAAAAGCTCTCCAAGCACAGAAGTTCTTTTTTGTGCCTAAAATTTCTCCATTTGACCATCTAAGGAATGGTCTTATACCTCCTCCTTCTCCTTCAGCACTCGTCGCTCAAGTGCTGGTGGGAAAACCGGCACGTTCACAGTTGCTGCTGTCGTTGTCATTTCCTCCGCTACCACCGTAGATGGGAAGAAATCATCGTCCGATTCTATGACCGATGAAAACGACGCATTATTTTTATGAACCACTGGAACTACAGGAGCCACCTTAAACATGTCAACATTAGAATAATGCTATAACACAGTGCATAATAAGAAACGGTAATAGAAGATAAAGAATGAAGCTTTCGACGTTGTTCAGTCCCTGAAGGATGAACCACAAATTTGATACCATCGTAGAAATGACTAGATGCATATTTAACCTATTCAGGACTTGGCGGCCCCAAGAATGCATCGAGTAAAAGTTTCTGTCATTCCACAACAGGCCTGGCACCAATTTGACGACTTTGGAGCTATGGAAAGCTTGGTTCGCCCAGTGCAGCAGATCGAAAGTTATACACTGCGGTTCGGTAAAAAACAGATTGGACAACACTGTGTAGATTTGTCGCACACTTTTTCGTATAGGAACGTTGGAGAGAAAGAGCTATGTCTTATATGCTGTATGATCTAGCTGCTGATTGAGGATTTTAGCTTTCTTTGCGATTATTGAATGATGGTCGAGTAGATTCTCACTGGAAAACTGGGATAACCGCACTGGGGATTTTCAGGCCTTGACCACAGGCAGTTACTGTCTTCCATGGATTAGATACAGCTTCAAAGACAAGCCTGCCGCCAAGCTCACAACCCGAAGAGATGGAAGATCTGTTGGCCAGGAAAGGAGTCGACCCAAGATTTTGCATATATTGAATAATTTTCTATGTGATTTAGCTCACAGGAGTTTGAGACAAAAAGAATTTGTATTCCGCTAACACTTTGGCGTTTTCATCTTCTTCAGAGCAGCATATTTAAGATAGTTGTGCATACTGCTGCTGAATAACAACAACAACATTCCTCCCAATGGTCAACCGCCTCATCGTGACTAGGAGGTGTTCTGGGTGCCGAGCTACGATGTACAGCGAAAGGATTCATCTTCCTGGCTGGGTCTCCCAATCTTAGGAGTCTGGTGTTTCCATCTGGAAGCCTAGCTAAGACTAAAACAATGCCGGGATCCACCACCGTCCTGGTATGAAAGTTGCATGGTGGGAAATCTTTCTCTCATCCACGAGGGAGGTGACTACCTGTGGTGACGACGACATGGGCCAGACTTTGGCCTGGCTGGCTTCGGGACCCCAGGGAATCATAATGGCTAAACCATCAAATCTAAGGAGAATGGAAATTATGCTGGGGTCCGCACAACCAGTGAAGGCAGGCCATCCAAGTACCCAAGTAGGTAAGAACAATATCTGTACTTTGATATTTGAGAATTTATTAACATGCTCTTTAGTAACTTGGAATCAAATATTTTGCTTGATTTTCACGACACCGGAAGACTCCAACGCAGAACAAACACAAGAAAATTCCCAATAAAGGACAAATAAGTTTTTTGAAAATCTTAAAGGTGCATTGATTTAAAAAACTCACCGCCGAGACGTCGACATTGTGTTCGGCCCTGGCGGTTTCATCAAAGCTGAACGGATCAGCAACCAACACCTGAAAATCCGATCTTACAACTTTTAACTGCACTGGAGCTGGTCAAAATTACAGCAATTCTCATAGTAAAACTCATAAGGTAGTATCCAGCGATGATCTTGCGTCTAACGATCCATCACTATTTAAGGTTAGACCTATCATTAGCTGCGTAGACGGGCCAACGGACAGGATAACATGGTTTTTAACCCTAATATTCAACCAGTTGTTGAAACACATTCCAGCCCATCTTACGAATACCCAGATGTTTCTGGATCGTCTACGTACTGCGCAGCCCAACAGCGCGTGCGTGATGGAGTCCTTCGACGTTACCGCCCTTTATACAAACGTGTCGAATGACTCCGCAATGCAAGCCATATTCGAACTCCTTACACAACACGAAGGAGAAATAAACATGTATGGCTTCAGGATAGAGCACCTGATGGCACTCTTAAAAGAATGCTTAAGCTGCTCAATCTTCAGATGGTCTGGAAAGTACTACGCTCAAATAAGAGGGTTGGCAATGGGACAACGACTGGCTCCAAGCCTTGCCATTGCATTTATGTCTAAGGTGGAAGCACCGGTGACTGATCTCGGGCCGCTACTCTACTGTAGGTATGTAGACGACTGCTTTGTCCTTTGCTCAACACAAGAGGAATTGGACAAATGCTTCGAATGGTTAAACGCACAGTCAGAGTATATCAAGTTCACCCGAAAAAAGCCGAAAGAAAAATGGCTTCCATTTTTGAACGTACAAATTCACCTATCAGAAAATGGCTACATTACAAAGTGGTACCGAAAGCCAAGTAGTAAAAATATCTTGGTTCATTACCTCTCCTCTCACCCCTCTCACACGAAAAGGGCGCTTATAAGAAACATGTTTCGAATGGCAACCAACGTGTGCACGGGAAGAAAACAGAGAGAGGAGTCCCGGAACTTGGCACGGCAAATAGCCATTTCTAATGGCTACGAAACTGTAGCTCAGAATAGGTGTAGAGGAAATCGTAGGCCTCCAAACGACAACTCTAGCGATAGAAGGGTCCCGTTTATCCTACCCTTNCAGAGAGAGGAGTCCCGGAACTTGGCACGGCAAATAGCCATTTCTAATGGCTACGAAACTGTAGCTCAGAATAGGTGTAGAGGAAATCGTAGGCCTCCAAACGACAACTCTAGCGATGGAAGGGTCCCGTTTATCCTACCCTTCATCTCAAATGATATAAGTACAGCTATAAAACGCTGCTTAAGGGCTTAGAAGGCTTAGAGAATTCGGTGAGCGTAGTTGAAATACCACCGAGTAATCTTAAGCGCCAGCTAGTTCGCAATCGCCTATATGACCGTCTATGTGCAACTCAAAATTGCATAATTTGCCCCAGTGGTAGAGACGGTGATTGCATGAGTTCGGGTATAGTTTATCTGATCTCCTGTAAGACGTGTGGTGACGAATACATTGGCGAAACGGGTAGACCCCTCTGTGTCCGCCTGAAAGAACACCTAGCCGGCAAAATTAGACCAAATACCCCGCTAGGCACGCATAGGACCCAGAGACATAACGGGGACGACTTCGAAGTATGTGTCACGATCCTCGCACGCGAATCAAGAACACAGGCGCGAAAAACTCTCGAGGCACTCTGGATTAATTCCAGAAATCCGAAAATGAACCGCAGGGCAAAATGCCTCATTATCACGCGTGATATAGGGCAGTATATAAAACTGCTTTTCTGATGTGAGGGGCACATTATACTTCCACGTGATTTCTGTGCGGTTGGTCTCTACGTGACATACTTAGTGGAAACCTCATAGGAAGCGGTGAGTGTGCAAAGCTGTGTTCAAAGTGATTGAAATCTTGGTTTGGGGTTTCTTTGTTTGGTTATGGAGGCGTCTGGCCGAGTAGATTGCTATCAACTTGACCTTTCCAGGCTCTGAGGAAGGCGAAATCCACCCAAACGTCAGCTTATTCGTGAATAAAGAATAATAACACCTCGCGTTTCCTCAACAAAAATACGAAGAAAATTCTCATAGTATTACAGTACTTATGAACGTTTCAGCAAACCAACGAAAAATGATTGTTTTAAAATCAACACAGCCAATAAATATTGTTTGGCGCAATCTCTTTAACCATTGATGTTTTACTTTAATGAAATTGCGCGGTTCAGCAAGTATCTGTCTTTTAGAAATGCCAGGACTATATGGAATTTAAAGTGACTAATTTTTAACTGCGGAAAAAATAGACAAATTGGAGAAAAAGAATTTTTCTGCCTTTTCTTACCTCAACTGGTAATGGATGTGTGTCGTCTGCATTTACGGCAGGTACGTTAAGCACTTGTAGTGTAGCTAAAATCAGGAAAAATTATGCGACGTTAGTGCTGTCCAACATCAATGTTGAAGTTTTATCAAAAGTGTGTATTTTTCTAACATGAATATTATAGTCTCCCTAAAAGTGTGTATCTTTGTATAGTGGTGGGTGCAGTGCAGTGGTTAGAGGTGCTCCGCCAGGTCAACCATGTTTTTCATTTCGACGGAGTCAGTAGAGCGGTGCCATACTTGCTTGGGAGAATAGCAACGAGGCTGATTTCATACATCTATAGATTCCAAAATGTAGTTTTTTAGGTGCAATATGCACTTAGTCAACTTTGCAATTCTGCGAATTGAGCTGGATTCATGGTACATTCCTAGGCAATCGATCAACATCTAGCGCTCTTAAGGTCCTTATGCCTTATTTTGTTCAAGACTTGCCGTTTGCAAATGTCTTTTCTTACCTATTTTCCCCACATTGTGACAAATAGACATAATGAAATCGCATGAATGGTTCATTATGTTTTAACGTTAACTCACTCATCCTCCGAAGATGTCATCAGATTAGGATAAGGTCTGAACTCTAAAACTCACCGTTATTGTCCTGCACAGTAGTGAGTTCAAGTGGCTCCAATGTTTGAGTCTAAATCGATAATGGATTAAACGCAACAAAAAATGAAATGAACAGAAACCACTGAATGTATGTTAGCAATGATGAATCGATGACCGATTAAAAAAGTTCTCCATTTCTTTCTTTCTCCTTTCTTCAACAAGAAATTCACTTCCTTTCGCAAATCCAAGTGTATTGGATGGTGATATTAAACAAATCTTGTTGTAGTGAAGAGTTCCGGCTAAAAATACTCCTAGTGAATGCAATTCAACATTAACCCATCTTTTTTCTGGAGACGAAGTGTTCTGAAGCTTCGGAATTCACTCAAAACGAGAAGGCTTAGATGTCTTCCCTAATGCTATCAGTTGTACGAATTCAATCTTCTATCAGCCAGTTTAAAAGCGAAAAGAAGGACCCGCATGGTATGCTGGTGAAGGCGTTAGACCCCGGAGAGGTCAATAACGCGTTCGATCCCCACCGGAGACACCTGCGGTCCAGAGTTTTGCAAATATCTCAGCATCATTGTGGTTCTATCTCACATAATACCCTGCTGTGAAAAATCGTAATAGGAAGTAAACGAAAAGTTAACAATGTGATTTCGACGACAGCCTCAGCTTAAATGGGTTCAATGCCGATTTGTGCCTCCAGATCAATCCAGTTGACGTACGATTGCTGATGGCACTGGCACATGGAAACTGGCTGGGAAAAAAAGTGAAATAAAGACTCGCATGGTGTGTTGGCGAACGCCTTAGGCCCCGGAAAGGGTAATAATGCGTTCGATCCCTCACCGCAGACAACTGCGATAAGCAGTTTTGTAAACGTCTCAACTTCATTGTGGTTATAGCTTTTGTTACTCAGAATAAAGTGGAAATCCGCCAAAATACTCGTTTAACCTATTCTGTCCCTTATCGACAATATAGTGTCCCTAACGACTGGGCCAAACGAGCGCATGTACACTATAGTGGTCACATTGAGTTTAGTGGGTTCCAAGGTTTCTTCTTATCGAACTATTCATATTCAATCGACAGCTAATAGAAAGCAGATCAAAAAGGTAGTGGTGAGACCACAAGAGCTATTCTCTGAGCTTAATGATTTACAAACGAAAATATTTTCGAAAAAGTTCACTAACCAGTAATTTAATTAGCAATTAATTTGCATTCCTTCAATGATATGCTAACATAAAGTTGATAAAGAAGATTTTCGGGTAACGTCTCCGCACCATCGCCTTCCTAAGAGCCCGATTGATCCGAATCGATTGAACACCGTTCGTCTTCCTATCTATATGGGTCCCGAAAGTCCATCCTGCAGTAGATGAACGATCGATGAAAAACGGACGATTATCAATGGACAATCACTATCAATCATAACAGCCTTTTATAAAACAGCACTGTTGAGTGAGGTTTTTCGTACGAGTGGTAGTCCACTGGATTCGACTCGATGCGTTCAAAGAGACCCAAATTGGAAGAACGAAGAACTGTGGGCAATCCACTTGGATCAATCCGGGTCTGAGGAAAGCGAAGGATCCGAAACGTTGACCTTATGAAGCACTTTAGCAACTTCGTTTTAGCTGATCAATGAAAGAAGACATATTGATTTGTTATACCAACGTTAAGGTGAAGTCGGTTTTTGAAACAAAAATTAACCATTATTAACCTCTATTCTATTTAAATCACGATGGCTATTAAACAGAAAGTGTTCATATAAGAAACACCGAAATAGACTCAACATAAGCTCAAAATAATTTAAAATGCCGACAGAGATGCATTTGCAATATGGACCATAGTACCACATAGTAAATACTTGGATACTTGGACGGTCCGTCCTCATTGGTTGTGCGGGCACCAGCACACTCTCCACTGTGTCGGTTTAGCAATTGTTTTCCAGGAGTCCCGAGGTTAGCCTGGCCAAAGTCTGCCCCCATAGTAAATAATAGCATGCATATCATTGGTACTCATAGAACGATACGCTAAGTTCTCTAGTGCAATTCTGTCACGTTCAAAACTCCTCAAGTCCTCTGTTTATTCAGAAAAGATTTTTTTTATTGTCAAAAAACCAGAAAGTCCGCAACCGACGAAAAATTGGGCTAGTCCGTTGGACCAGCAACGCAGCACAGTATCGGTGACGGAATGGGTTAAGGAAACCGTTTAAAGATTGTCTCAGTTGCACATTAATCGAACAAATTAGTCGGAATAGTAGTTGTAGTAACAGCAATGACTATTGATCGATCATTTAAAGAAGCACTGGTGTGGCCAGATCATGGCTCAGAACGACTTCACTTGTCGCACTTTTTTAGCTTCACATTTGGCATTTTTTAGCGATATTAAGCAATTTAGAACAAATAACCAAAAGGAATTTTAGTATTTAAGTCTTAAAATCGATGAAACCACGTTGAGACTCCTGATATTTCTTTTGAGACAGTATTCGTAGATTATTGTTCTCCTCCTCTACATATTTAGTAAAGTCACTTAATTATCTCCTAATCCTCTCATTATATTATCGGTGATTAAAGGAGACTTTCTTCGTATACTAAGAAGCAAAATTTAAAGGTGAAATGCAAAATTCATAGCTCTTTTAGTGTTAGGAAATGTGAGAAGATTTATAAGAAGCACAGCTATCTGTGAAATACATCAACCGAGATAATTTTGACAATGAACAGGAGATAAAAAAGGATAAAGTTCTCGGTGTTGATCAACCCCTGACGGATGCGCCATGCATTCGACTTCATTAAGTATCGTTGGAGGTGATTGAATGCATATCTGGCCTTTACAATGACTCTCGGTAGCCTATTGATGCATCGAGTTAATGCTGCAATGCTTCCAGACAAGCCTGGTACCAATTTGCCGACCCCGTAGGGATGGAAGGCTTGGTGGACCAGGGGCGCGAGGATCGATCCCATGTGTGTGTGTGTGTTGTAGGGCGCCTATGACCACTGCGCGACACGTGTCCGGACAGAACATAAATATTCACTTCGTTATATCGAGCTGCAGTAACCGGAACGTATTCGGGAATTGAGACGATAACACGCAGATCATTGAGTACCAACATAGTCGTCCCGGTCAATGGGCTGTGCGTTTCACGACAGTGATCGCACCATTCATTAGAGGAACACGAAATAAATGAGGGGAAAACCTGTGATTTCACAAAATGCAGCTTTTCGTGTGCAGATTCCTTTAGTTTTTTTTTTACCGATTCAAGCAACCACGGTGAAATCTCGGTGAAATGTTGGGATACTCGAAGCATCTTTTGCAAAAACACAACCAGAAAAACTTCTAGTGAGAACCACACAGCGAAACGATTTAGATGGTCTACAGCATCGAACGACGTTTTGGAAAAAGTTTAAAGAGATAAAGACTAAAGCAGTAATTTCGTTTCAATAGAATCTTGAATTGTAACAAACATGGATACAGCCTTCAGTAGAAAACTGACGACATCATCATAGGTCTACTATTAGTGGTGAAAGCAAACACAACTTTCTTTGCTTAGATTTCGAATAAACTATAGTTTTCCTGGTGAAAACAATGTTTTCTAAGGTAGAAGTGCAAACCTGATGCCTGTCTGTGGTGACGGCGGACTCAGAGGTGATCAGTTCCAACAGCTCCGTGCTTGTTACAAAGCTATCGGATCTGAAGCAAAACCTCACTGAACACAACAACGTAAGCAATGAAATCTCAAAGTGCCAACAAGAAACTAACGCTTCTCACCCCTCGTTGACTTCATCGGTGTTCCCTACAAGCTCGGCTGCACTGATCGCGTCCTCGTTTAGCACCTCTTTGGGAACGAGGTTAAACATTTTAGAAAAGTTTTCATTCTGGCATCGAACTTCTGCAAGGCAAACATTCGATAGTCATAGTTTTCACATCTTCTATCAAATGTGCATAAATATATCAAACAGCGGTTGAACATCTGCTGAGAGCAAACGATGGAAACAAAAAAAGTTAACTTTGTAAAAATCTCTAGAGGATAAAGCTCTCGGTGTTGATCAATCTTTGAGGGATGTGCCATGCATTCGACTTCATTGAGCATCGTTCGGAGGTGATCGAATGCATATCCGGCTTTTACAATGACTCGCGGTGGACTACCGATGCATCGAGCCAATAGTGCTGTCCTCTCAGACAAGTCTGGTACCAAATTGCCGATCCTGGAGGGATGAAAGGCTTGGTGGGCCATGGGAGCGGAAATCGATTCCGAGTGTGTGTTGAGGGGAACCTCTGACCACTGCGCTACACGCGACTTTCTAAGTGATGTTGACGACTCAATCAACCACATGCGACTATAATGAGCTGTTCTAAACTTCCTCATTGGAAGTCACGAAAAAGCGGCTCTGAAGAAGGCGATACTGCCAAAACGTCAGCTAGCGTTGTATTGTATTGTGTTTTTATGGAAGTAAATGTATGCTGTTTAAAAACCTCGCGATTGCTGAACAAGAAAACGACACATTCATATTCCAATGCCGAGGTTAAGAGAAAGTCGATCTTGGGAACTATTACAAAAATGGTGATATTTAAAAATCCCTGAAAAATAATTACAACGTAACCTGTTAAATGAATGATGAGTAAGGGAATGAATATGCACAGTAACCTCATGCTCTGCACTCTTCACTGCTATGACAACTCTGAAACAGTATAATTTCAACCATGTCAAAAAAGGAAACGTAGTTGCGAGAGCGAAAAAACTAAACGGTTGTATTGAGCGAATGTCGGAATATGATTGACTCATAAGTAAAGCGGACGTTACTCAGAATTTGAGAATATTTTCAATTGAAAGTGATAGCTTTGTCGGGAACAAAGAAGGCGTGGTTTTCTGTGAAAATGAATCCGTAAAAAACTGACAGTCATTCAGCACATTTTTTCTATGTTTATCTTGACCTCAGAAAATGAAGCTTCAGTTGGACAAACTAACATCTTCAAAACGTTGCTCTGAAGTGGTTCAGAGCAATGCCAACGGTACAGCAAGAGGTTGAAATGGTTCTACCACAGGCAACCCACAACAACTATTAAACATTGTTCTTGTCAATTAGACCTCGCGTTGGATAGGTAAATTCTATGGAGATATGAGTGACCAGCGAAGCATGTAGCACAGTGGTCAGTGGTGACCTAAAATACACAGATAGTCGTTAGTACGATCCAGTATCCTGGAAAAACCATTCCCTCTTTCCATCTGCGTTAGGCAAATTGGTACCAGGCTTTCATGGGACCACAAAATCACTAATTTGATAGATCCCTCCTAGGTCATTTAAGGCAAGATATGCATCAAATAACCGCGATTATTTTTAGTAGCAAATTTTAGTACGTTATAAAAAGAGCACTCAGTGAGAATACAATTAAAGCAATGCTTAGATGAAAGGCACACTGAGCGACAACTAGCTAACGATTCAGGAGAGCTATAGTGTTACAAACAACGAATGAAATAAGAAAGATATAACCACAATGATCCTGAGATATTTGCAAAACCCCGGACCGCAGGTGTCTGCAGTAGGGAACGAACGCGCTGTTGTGATTTTCTGGGCTAACGCGTTCACCACCACACCATGCGGGTCCTTCGTTTCGCCTGCCTCTCAGCTAGTTCTGTCGATCACTGCCGTCAGCAGTGATCCGTCAACGGGATCTGGTGAACCCAGTTGAAATTCACAATGTTGACCTTTTTAATTTACTGACTTTTCCAAGTTTTCACGGCAGAGTATTATTTGCGAAACAATCACAATGGTGACAGACAATGATGGGCAGACACCGCTGCGGTCCGGAGTTCTGCAAATATCTCAGCATCTGGTACCGTACCGGAAAAAATTATAGTAGGCAGCATCAGCCTCAGTTTAACTGGGTTCATTTCCGATTTTGACTCACTAGACCAATCCCGTTGACGGGTGATGGCTAATGGCGGATCGATAGAACTAGCAAAGAGGCAGACGAAACGAATGACACGCATGGTGCGGTGGTGAAAGCGTTAGTGCGCAGGGACGATAATATCGCGTTCGTTCCCCACCGCAGACACCGGCGTTTCACAAGTAATACCCTGCCGTGAAAAGTTAGAGAAAGCAGAAGAAAGGTCAACATTAATAAAGATATAACTAGGAAAAAAAAGAAACAGTCTGGTAAATTTCGCCATGACCTCCAAGAATGTCGTTTTGCTGGAGAATTTTCTCATCGAAGAACCAGTATTTCGAAAAAAACCGCAAAACTGGTGTATTTTAGTTCCAGAACACGTGTATGATATTTCAGAGATCCTTTTCGAACAGTACCATCACTACAATGACAACATTCAAAACAAAAAGTCAAATTGTTCTAAAGAATTTAGGTTCAGAACTAAGAATAACTGCGTGAAATCTTACTCCTTAGTTTTGTCGCCTACTGTCGACCACTGCTACACATGCCCATTTGGGAAGCAATGTGTTTGTCAAAGGTTTATGTTTATGGAGCCGCTCACCGTTACTGCTTAACGTAGAAAGCATATTTGGGTGACCTTCGTAACCTTGGAATTATGGTGAACCAAGTGAGTCGGTTTTGTAAGCTGTTCACCAAGGTCATTGCACTGATGTAAATCGTAACATCTCTGGTGCGAAATAAACAGATTATTTCCGATTTCTTTCATAGGAAACAAGAATTCAGGCGTTTAGTTTGTGTATAGATCTCAATCATAACGAGCACAGGCTTGTCGGTAAAACTTCTTGACCTTGGTATTAACAATCTTTGAGTATGAAAAGCGGATACAGATAAGTGGATACAAGTAACGGGGGCAACTCGGAAATCTTCGTCTCACGCTTATTTGCCTCAGTGGAGCTTTGTGTTACAATGCATAAATGTAGATTGGATAATGCGATAAGTAGGTATAACAACACAAAAGACGTAAAACGACAGGTGAATGCGGACAAGCAACTGAGTCCTCAGAAGAGCAAAAAAGACGATCACTGACTACAAACAATCACCGGTAGACTCTAACAAAGAGCTAGTGAAACCTGTATGTCAACTGCACGAAGCTAGTTCTGCTTATTTCCAGGTATCTAGAAATCTTACCTCTATATTTAAATGCAAATTCAAACGATGTAACATCCACCACCATAGGAATGTCTTTTCTGGAATGTTTGAAAGCTTGTTTATCTATCAATCAGTCGATCGCTAGTTCGATTCTCATTAGTTCATCACTCGAGAAAATTAGACGTGATTTCTTTGAGAAACCAAAACTGGTTGGGTTGCTGTGTTAACGTGAAGGCAATAATAATATCGATGTTTAGTAGCAAAGCATTAAAATAAAAAGTGAGAAGTGAAGTTGACGGCCACAGGAAAACAAGCCTTTAAGAAAGTAGTGAGGAGAAAACTCCAGAAAAAGGAAACGAAACAACGAACAGTGAAAAACGCTCAGATCAGCCTGCTTTCCATTCAAGTCCTTGCCAAGAATGAGAACATCTTACAGTTTTCATTGTCGAAAATATGGTCCGTTCAATGAAAATCTGCATGTCCCACTCATAATAGCACGGCTCTGAGGAAGGCGAAATGGCCGAAACGTCGGTAATCGACCAACAACACCAACAGCAGTGACAACAACAGCGACAACCACAAAGAAGATGTATGCTAACCTCGCATTGGGTCAACAAAATCAGTTCATTAGATCACATAAATAAAAGAAAATCAAAAAGTTGATTGATGGATTCAATGACAGCTAGTACAGATTAGGCAGAACAAAGCATCTGCACCTGAATGTTTAGAACTCCTTGACGTGCCATGCCGTCGAACAACTGGCATGAAGAATACGATAAAAAACGAATAATCACGAGAACCAATATATAATAGGATAGGATCAATATATATATATATATATAATAAAATAGGATATACGCTCATTATATACATCCAGAGAAACCAGAAGTGCCTAGGGAAACAAGGGAAAAGAAGGTGGCTCTTAAGCCTCTTCGGTTGGAATCGCTGTAGAAGTCCGGTAATATTAACGAGTCAAACCATCGTATCCATGAGAGCTAAGTGCAGGTAACGAAAACGGCGAATAAATCTCCTAACAGTCGATTATTTTTTCTCGAAAAAGTACTTTTTTGTTTTCATGACTTCTCATTGCCTATTGTGCCATGACCAAAACTGATATAAAGTATTAGAAACTAAAATCTAAGCAGGTACGAAACGTCTGTGTATAGATGGAAGGAAGAGCAAAACAGCTTTGTTCAGAGAAGTTTTGAAAGCTTCACTTTGGTTATCTTTCCTTTCTTATCGCTCAGAGACAAAAATGATTCGGACAACGTTGATCACTAGTATGTAACTCCCAAAAAAACTTCAATATGTCACTTTGATTATCACGTTAACATCTGACGAGAAAGGCAACGCTGGAAAACGAAGGAATACAGGGATCAAATAGCTCTCTGTTCGATAGTTCTTTGAAATGGATGCGATAGAAAATGCAACAAAAGTATCAGCATATGAAAAATACTGATTATGGTTAATATGTCTTCAATACAAAAATAAATAACAGAGATCAGCCGAAGAGATGCTAGAAAGCCGTCCGATTCCTTTTAGCATGCTATGCAGCGTGGTAATAAAGCAGTCATAGACGTCCATAAAGAAATAACCGTCTTCTGCTAGAGCAGGATCTCGGTTGTGGAGTTGTTGAGACCAGGAAGTGAGAGGCTGAGTACGTGAGTGTAGACCAATGCAACCTCAAAACAGGCGTTAGACATCATGAATTGATAGTTTGCTGGTCGATTAGCCGATTGCGCGATTAGCCAATTGGCCGATTGACCGTGTTTCAGGCAATGGAGGACGGTCGGTCAGCTCTTCAACAGCAAACGAAAACCAG